CTCACTGCATGTCAGCTCAGGACCTCACTACCATGTTGGGAGGCAGTTGAAGACTAACCAATCAACATCCCAGGCTGGAGAGCAGTGCCAGCTCGGGGACAATTTACCACCTGCAAAAAATTTAATACTCTTAACAATCTACACCATCTATCTCATCTTTACCTAGCCCCCAAACCTTACATTTGTCAGCATTAAACTGCATCTGGTAGTCTTAAACCATTTCAAAACTATATAGGGCATCGGTATTTTTTATTTGCCAATTCTGCAACTACTGCAGTCTAAACCATAATCTTGCGAATAACCGAGGTCTAAGGAGAGCTTTTAGGCACTACTTACAACACTTCTCCCAGCTTAACCCCATTTATACTAATTTCCTTTGGTATAGCCATGACCTAATCAACTTCAGTCAGCATTCCCAATGATCCGAGCCCCTATCAATTTTGCGCCACTATCAAAATCTCTGCTGAAGTCAAGGTACACAAAATCACAAACCTTATCACCATTTCCTCAACTATGCAACCTAATCCATGAACATTTAGTAATATAACTATGCGATTCATGTATCTAGTCATGTTTCTCAAAAAGAGTAGAGAAATGGCACTTGCAATGCTAGATTCTAGTAACTTCCCTCACAATAGACTAAGCTAATTGGTCACTAACTTAAACGTTAAAGTTAACTCAAACTTTTCCTTTAAAACTTGCTATATTAGGAACTTTCCACGACCGGCCTTTACCCGACATATTTAAATAGGGTAAAAACGGTATATTAAATGCAGTAAAACTACGGTAAATTCAATATGTTAAACTTGCATTCTTTAAGCATGCGCTGCATAGTAAGTGAACTAAACTAAATGTTAAGCACCCTGGCAAACCACTTCGTTCTATTCAATTTTTTTATTTAATCACTTTGTCCGGCTAGAATTTAGATTAGATTAAAGGAACACCCTCCCTGGTAACGGCTGAACTAGTTAACCAAATACAAATATTTAGGTAACATACTTTCATAAACCACGTCTACTTCCCCCACCAGTAGACTTGTTCAGCTAAAGGAATAATATAATGTTCCACTTTAGTAAATAAAGACTTAAAAAAACACTACCCCATCTGTGTAGTTACCGGTTACCTGACATTCTACGCTTAAAATAACCCATCTATTCCCCATAATTGTTCGATATAACTTACCTCTCACTCGCTGGTCGAGTACACAGCATTATATATCCTCCTCCATCACTCACCGCGTGGATACTATTTCACTCTGGCCGCAAATTGCCTCAAATCACCTACGTTGTCCATAAACATATATAGAAGAGCAACTGACCCTAACACCCGTATATAGCGATCATCACATAACGTGGGAACATTAGAAGTACTGCTGTTAAAACATAGATGGCGCCAGGACAAACGGTAATTCCTATGGACTCGCCTAGTTATGCGTAGGGAATTGAGCTTCAGCTGTTTGGTCCCGCCCCTCAGTTGTATTCACCTAGTTGTACTCACCTAATTTGTGCTTGCAGGGGTTGAGCTTTGGTTCTTTGGTCCCGACTCTCAACCGTCAATCAACAGGTGTACAGGTTCCTGAGCCTATTGGGCTCTATCACATCTACATTTGAAATTGTGTATGGAGTCAGCCTCCACCACATCACTGCTTAATACATTCCATTTGTTAACTACTCTGACACTGAAAAAATTCTTTCTAATATCTCTGTGGCTCATTTGGGTACTAAGTTCCCCTTGTTCGTGTTCCACCCGTGTTAAAGAGCTGTCTTTGTAACTATCAAAATGCATATATCTTTGCTTTCACTTCAGTTATATTTATGACAAGGGATTTAAAATTTGCCTATATTTCTGCTTCTCTGATGACATTAAAAACTTTCGTTTATTACAGTATCTACATAAAATTAACATTTATCTTCATTAGGTTGTAGTTCTCATCAATAGGGAGAGCGTCGGTAAAAAAACAAAATTGTTTAAATATAAATATCTTTCCTCTCTTAATAATATGCCCGAAACGCTATGCGTACTAATATAGTGGCTTTAGGTATTGTATGTACTAGCTCTATCTATAAATCCAATATTATGTTTGTAAATCGACTATTTATGTACTTTCCTGAATAAAATGAACTTTACTAATATCTAATCTCTGTGACTAAAACGTAAGAACAACTTTATCTATGCCTTTTTGATAACATATACAATTATAAGCTTTATTAGTGAATCTCTATTAATTAAACAATATATCAGAGAGTGTGTAAGGTTCGGTGTTCCATGTGCGTGTCTGTGTCTGTCCCTGTCCCTCTGCTCCTGTCCCTGTCCCTCTGTCTCTGCCTCTCCTCGTTTCTGACATTCTCTGTGTCAGCCTATCTCTGTCTCTTTCCTCGCTCTATCTCTGTCATTCTCTCACTGACTTTGCATATCCTTATCTATATGTCTCCGTGTCTAACATTCTCTCCCTGACTCTGTCTATATCTATTTCTCTGTCTCGATCTTCATCTCTTTCTCTCTCTCCTTCTCTCTCTCTCTCTCTCCTCTCTCTCTCTCTCTCTCTCCTTACATACATACATACATACATACATTAGGCATTGTATGTACTAGCTCTATTTATAAAGCCAACAAACTTTGTAAAATCTCTGTATGTATGTACCTTTACCTAAATAAAAATTATTATTATTATTATTATTATTATATAAGTGGATGGAGCCTTTAGCTGATCCCTTCCTGTGATTGGCTGTGGTGTGAATGTCAACAAAGAGTTTCTACCAATAATATGCCATTTATTATGCACCCCATACCACTTGTGGGCGGAGCTTGGAACCTCCTACCCGAGCACAACAACCCGCCTTATGGGTTGCTGTTTGGCTATTTATAGTGCGTTGGAAAAAACAGAGATGGCGTTAGTTGTATTTTGTGGGGTAATTTGTTATAAGTGTAATTTGATGTCAACAGATGGCGTAAGCTGTATCTTATGGCCACTGTTGACCAGCCAGTTGATAGTGTTCTCTTCTGCCGACAGATGGCATCAGCTGTATCATTATTACTTCCAAATTCCCTTTAAACACTGATCTACAAATCCCGTAGCTTATGATAAGCTTTTATACTATTCTGGTATTAGGTAACAATTAATTTTCTTTTATCTACTGTTGAGAATATCATTATATAACGTCTGGTTAGGATGTACTGTTCTTTGTTGAGCGTTTAGTTTAGTTATATCTTCATGCCCGAAACGCTTTGCGTAATAGTGGCTTTAGGCATTGTATGTACTAGCTCTATCTATAAGTGAACCAATCTTTGTAAAAATTTCTTGTATGTATGTACCTTACCTAAATAAACATTTTATTTTTTTATTTTTTTTTTACATTAACACATGTACACATGTGGTACACGCACAAGGGGACACAGGTGGAAGCTGAGTACCCAAATGAGCCACAGAGAGATTATAGAAAGAACTTTTCAGTGTCAGAGTAGTTAATAAATGGAATTCATTAGGCAGTAATGTGGTGGAGGCTGACTCCATACACAGTTTCAAGTGTAGATATGACAGAGCCCAGTAGGCTCAGGAATCTGTACATCAGTTGATTGACGGTTGAGAGGCGGGACCAAAGAGCCAAAGTTCAACCCTTGCAACCACAACTAGGTTAGTACATACATACATACATAAGATATAAAACAGTGGAGGATTCCCAGGTAGAACAATCAACCACAATGCCCATTACCCCTTTACCCTGATGTCCTTAACTACACAACTATACAAGAGTCATTAACACGTATAATGGCTGATCCCCCATCACGATAGCATAAAGACCAATTGCCTGACCCGCAGTCCGTCTTGCTCCTCAAATAATTTTCGGGTTAACATGAAAACGTCTCTCGAGTTTATCTTTCTAATGTTGTTTTCCCATCTTTCATTTTATCAGCTTAGTTCCTTTATTTTGCCCCAATTACTCATCCCTTGAGCGGTAGTTAAACTGAACCCAAATTTAAAAAAGTTCCTTTTGCTAAGCAAGCTACAGTCTTGATAAGTCAGATATATTGTTTGTTAACACATTTCTCAACAATGAACAGTCAGTTTTATCAAGCTAACATATTCTAACACAACGAGTGAGAGTATTAACTGGTCTAATTATTTTATTAGACCAGTATATATTATATATATATATATATATATATATATATATATATATATATATATATATATATATATATATATATATATATATATATATATATATATATATACATATATATATATACATATATATATATGGGGGTGGGGGTGTAACAAAAAGGAGGCCTGGTCAAGGACCGGGCTGCGGGGACGCTGAGCCCCGAAATCATCACAAGATAACCTCAAGATGGGAGTTTTAAAAGTTTTATGTTGCACCCTAACACTTTCCCTGATGGAATGTGAGCATAATTAGCTACCTCGTCACCTGATGGGATGCACAATCGAAGGGTTAAACAGTTTACGAGCCTTGAATTACTAAGAGGCTGTTTATAAAAAAAAAAAGTGGAAAGTACTGATGCATATAAATGTAAACTGTTTAATGAATGTAAACAAAGCTGCGGAAATGCTTGTTGACTCGTGTCCCTGACCTTGGTGACCTCGGGGCATCTCCTTCAATATTTCTTGTGAATAGTGACATCATCATAAGATTTTCTCTCTCCTCCTCAACCAAAAGTAAGCTACATACAAAATTTTGTATTTAATTGTCATGTAAATCAAGTGTGCAGTGGAGGGGTTAAAGGTATACAAAAAACTGAAAAGTTTTCAGCAAGAAGTGCTGCACCAGCTGGGTTGTAGTGGGTATGTGAGCCTGCGGCCTGCTCCAAGCAATACATATTGGATTAAGCTCTCACGAGTCAAGCCTGATCCCAGGTTGGGCTTAGGGAGTAGAAGTATTCCCAGAACCCCATTCAGGTACATACGTCTGTTGCTTGTCAATAAACACTGAAAATATAAACCAATAATGATTAAATAGAAATGAGTGCATAAAAACTCCAAATATCAGAAAACAATTTTTATTATTCATATATCATATGTACAAACCCTTAACCAAAAAAGCCATTCTCTTATGTTACAGTCATTATGAACATTCTTTTGGAGCAATATAAACGCATCTGTATTCTACAAACTTAAGGAACAAAAATGCATAAACTACAATGTACAAGAATCAAAATAAATACAAAAATGTACAGTGTTGAGCGATGGTCATCACTCGGTTAATAGTGCCCTTTTTGTCATTTTGGACACTGCTGTACAAAAGATTAGAAAATACTGACAAAAATTGGGAGCAGTAGTATGCCATTATTTCTACAGCCAGACATGTGTCTATTACGACATTGCACCACACACACACACACACACCTGCATGTGTAGGTCATGTATTTATATGTACATGTATTTAGGTGGGGTCATTATACAGTTTCACATAATAGGTAACTGCACTTGAAGCACAGACTTTCACACAATCAAGATTTAGATACAATTTTAAATGGTACCTAAGCCTCAGATTTTGAGTTTATCATCTGGCATCACACACTGAAAAATAAAACTAATGTATCTAAATACTGCAAATTAGTCACACACACGGTTACATAATAATTAAAAAAAATATTGTCCGTGGCACGGCAGTCACTGTATTAGCTGCCATTTTAATGGGGGATGGTGTTGCGCCATCACTTGAGCTCCTCAGACCAGCATAGAATATAAGCACCTTTGAGAAATACTTCAGGCATTCATGATACACAAGTCAAATTCTAGAGGAACTTGATAATCGTTATAAGATTCAATATTGCTATGAACATGAGTTTTTTAAATGCCATAGTCTGTTTTATAGAATAAACTCAAGTTCTATACTTTAATAACAAACTGTCACTGATGACTGCAAACTAGTACATTACATTTAATGAGTATTGATGCATTTAAAGAAATTTACATTAAATTTACATTCTATTAAAAATATATTATATATTGTATACTAGAACATAATCTAATTACATGTGATGCATTTAACAAATGACATTGTAGACAGATAACAAAATTAATTTTCTCTCAAATTATGTAATCAATAACGCAATTCAAGCCGTCCTGCAAATGTAGCCTCAAGATTCTATAGAAAGACATTGAGTACAAAACAAGCCATTCTGACACAGGAAGCCGTTTTTCCTCACTCGAACAAGACACTGAATAGCCGACTATGGGTTACAATTCAAAAATTACAGTTTCCCCCTTTTCTTTTTTTCACATGTTTTCTATTAAAATAATTAGACACTGTACGTGGGAGATAGTAATAACTGTTTGTATCTTGTACAGTACTTTGGTAAAGTATTATTTTCTTTTAATACCTCAGAATTGTCAAGACCCATCATTTACATTAGCAAATTTTACTAAGCCTTGGAAGACGAATTTGGCACATTTAACAGGCTCTAGACTTAAAAGGAACTTAATGCTAGTGCCGCAGTCCTACTTTGGACCAGTATGCAGGTGAGGGAAAGGCGAGATGTGGCTCTTTTAGAGCTCACACTCATGTCTTGTTCTGTTCCTGATCATTAACACTTTTGGATACCCATAATGCAAGTGCTAAGTCCACAGGTTTTAGTTATTTGTGATTAGTTAATGAGGATTTACTTTGTGATAGTGTGAAGAAAAATGGGTATTGTCTATACACATTACTCTACCACTCATTAACTGCAAAATATACTCTAGAAGTAATTTTTTTAAATAAAGGTTTATTATAAACTTCAATAAATGAACAATAATTATTAATGAGTGTGAGAGTCCATGGAAAGGGTGTGGCACTGCCCAACAATACTGGTGCGGCGAGGCCCTGTGTTGGCACTCTCTCGAGTAGAGGGCCACCAGGGGCGCGAGGTAGACAGCTCTGCAGCCAGGAAAATAAAGCGCGGGGCCAGGGCAGAAGCCCGAAGGCCAACCCCGCAGAGCACTACTCTGTGACTACTAAGCGCACTTGGCTGCTGCATAGCTGGAGTGGACTGGTTCATGATGCCATCATGAAATAATACAGTTTTTGTCCTTTTCTCCAAATCTTTTTCGCGTGGATGGGGACCCTGGCGTTTGAGATGTTCCAGCTTGGCGTCTAGCATACGCCAGGGCATCATTAGGCACATAACTTATACGGACACCACCATAAGCTCTTCTAGGAGGCAGCTCATAATCAAATTCATCTGAAGAAGATGAGGAACATGTTGAACACACAGACTCATTGTCCCAATCTGCATCTTCTAGCCCTGGTGCAGATGGCGTTTTGCGTGGTGTCTGACCATCAGGTGCTGGAGCTGAGCCAGAGTATGAGCGAGATCTTGGCAACCTGTGAGAGCCATGGGATCTGTGGCGGCTTTGACGACGACATGGTGTCCCACCTGCAATTGGCGCGACCTCTAAAGCTGTGGGTGCTGACCCAGATGATGAAGAGGAGGAAGATGAATCACGTATATCACGAGATGGATCCTGACGACTTGCAGCATCTCCAACTTGTGCTGGATCGAACCTCACTGAACGATTATGTCTGTCTTTTTGGCGAGAAGATAGAGAGCTTTTTCTTGGTGCTCCAGGCGTTGGTGTGTTCGTAGGTGATGTAGAGGCAGATGATTCACCATGTTGACTCAAATCAGGCATAGAAGCATGTGCTGGAGAAGCACGTCCTCTTGTTGCCTCTTCAGATGCCAACAAGGCTTCCAAATTCAGATCAGACAATGCAGAAAGATCCAATGGTTGTCGACGTGCAGCATTAGACAATACGTCAGAGTTCTGCAAAAGAGACTCAAGTGTGCCAGGTGCACTTGTAGCTGCTACCTCTCGCAACAAATTGATTCCCTGCTCTGCAAGAATGCGACCCAGAGATCGTTCTAGCACCAGACGATCTAATCCCGCTCCCACAAGCTCAACACCACGCTGTACTACTACTTCTGCTGGTATACTCTCCCCACCCTCGCCTGTTGGTGTTGAAGTAATAGGGTGCTTCTGCTGGGCTGAGGGTGAGTGAGGACTTGTCTGACAGGATGAAGATACAGTGCTCCCATCTGCTCCACGGAACTCTAGTGCACGTCGTCCCATTTTGGGTGACTGCTGAAGCTGTAAGGCCTTGCGACCCATCTTGGGTGAACGCATTATGGGATTAGACTGTGTTTGTCCTCTTATTTCCTCACTGCTCACAGCTGCCACAGAACGATGACTCGGTCTGGGTGAGCCTATATCAGAAGCAGCACGTGAGCCACCTAGCTCTGAGGGGACTCGAGAGGATCCAGCTTCGGAAGTGCCATGAGGTGAATCCAGAGGGTGTCTATGTAGCTCATGTCTTGAAGACTGGGCAGATTGCAACCGTGGAGATCGAGGGGATCGTGGTGATACAGGAGATGGAACATGTTCACCTGGTCTATGTTGTACTGGATTCTCCACTGATGCCCCGGATATAGGTGAGCGAGGACTAGACACGTAAGGTGTAGGTACATGAGTATTTGGTTGAGTCATGCCATGTATGCCTGACATGGAAGATTCCCTGGAAAGTGCAGGATTATTCCGAGGTCTTTGCAAGTCACGAATCTGAAAAGAACTTTCTCTAGAAATGCGGGGCTGTGAACCTGTAACATTGGACGGTTTTCTGATGAGATGAGGTGATCGAGGACTTGTTGCCTCGGGGCTTTCTGGGTTCTCTAAAAGTGGTGATGTAGCTAAGGCCCGCCGTCTCATTTTTGGCGATTTTGATACAAGTGGTATGTCTGGCAATGGTGATTTAATCCCTTTGCGTCCAGGCAAGGGTGAAGAACCATCACTCTGATCAGATGTAGAATCATGACTGATATGCTTGGTGGGAGGCCTGGTAGCACGAGGTGATGTTAGAGTAGAGTCTGAGGCATCATAGGACAAAGAATGTCGTCGTTCTACACTGTTAGACTGTTTAGACTGCTGTGGGAGAGCCTGGTGACCAACAGGTGTGTTAGCATTACTGTCAGAGGGTGTGGGAGGTTCGCCCTTACTACAGGCAATTGAGCAGAAAATTGCACCTCTCCTAGGCAGGAAGGGTCTACCCAAGAGAGAGGCATGGCATGTGTGACAGCAGAAACACTCCTCTGTAGCATGCCAGTGTTGACCCTCGTGTGTCATTTGACCTGAAACAAAATTCCATCTTTACAATAACTGGTAAAATTAATACATTTGTTCCATTACTGTACTAATTATATATTATCATGTTTTTGTGAATCTAGCAGAAAACATTAATTTAAATTACATTATTGAGACATGATATTGTTCCAGAAATAATGTTAGCCTTTTACAACAATATATACAGTACTTGAAAAAATGACAAAGAAAATTCGAACACCATAAATGACAAAGTATACATGTATCTTATTTTTACTTTTCCTTTCCCACTTTTTCCATCCTCCTTCCTTCAAACTAAAACCAATTTTCTCAGTCTTTCCCAGCTGCAGCCCACCCCAGCACAATCCCAGCCCATCTCCTGCCTAATCACCAATCCCAGCCAAGGTCTCAAATTCAGCCCCTGCCCCAGTTCCAATTTCGTTCTTAATACCAATTTAATTTTAATATTCTACTCTGCCTCTACGTTTTTGCATTGTCACACACATTACAGTACTTTTAAATTAATAATGAAAATAATATGCAATCCACAATAGTGTATGTAATAATATTTCATTTACTTGGAATATTGGAGATGAAAATTCAGGCCTCAAAATACAAAACCGTTATCTTACCAACTAGGTCATGCTCGCCCAGTGTTATTCAAAGCAGCAATGCTTGAAATTACTAATATTGATTTTTGAAGATACTGTACTTCGAGGCATATAAGCAATATGCTTAATCTATTCAACAGATTGCACTGCAAGTTTTACAGAAACAAGAGACATGTACAGACTATTAGTGTAAGGCTTAACAATTGGCCAAGCATTGGTCTGCCAATAGGGAACTTAGCAAGTTTTGTAATATATTTGATTGGAAAGATTTATTGTTAAGAAAGGAAGTAAATGTATGACAAATTATGTAAATGTATGACAAAGGAAGTATGACAAATTTTGTAAGATATATGATGAAGGAACAAAGAAATTTATACCAGTTCAGAGATGCAGAACTAGGAAGCAGGACTGGTTCAACATTAATTGTGGCAGGGCCAGAGAAGAAAACAAAAAAATGGAACCAGTATAGGAAGAGGCCAAACCCCCAAACATACCAGCAATGGAAAGAAGCAAGAACTACATGGCAGTGAGAAGAAAGGCAGAAAGAAATTTTGAGAATGGGATAGGAGAAAAATGTAAAAAAGAACCAGGCCTATTCTGTAAATTTCTTAAAAGGAAATTGCAGGTAAAAAATAACATTCAGAGGTTGAAAATGCAGAACAGATTTATGGAGAATGAAAAGGAAATGTGTGAAACATTAAACAAACAATTCCAAAGTATGTTTGTGCAAAATGAAGTTTTCTGAGAACCAGACACAATACAAATTTCAGAGAATAACAGTGAGAGTTATTCAACTTGTACATAGAGTTGTCTTGAGACAAAGTAGAAAAGATGCCCAAGGAGCTAAGTAGAAACAAAGCAGTTGGCCCAGATGAAGTTTTACCTTGGGTTTTGAGAGAATACCCAACTGAGCTGAGCTAATCAATCACTTCAATTGATTATTGAGGCATCTTTATGTACTGGAAGCATAGGAAATATATGGAAAAAGCTAACATAGTTCCAATTTACATAAATGGTAGCAGAAAAGACTTAATTATTGATCTGTATTGTTGACAAGCATAGTAGTTAAAACACTGGAAAAATAATTAAAACCAAATGGGTAGAACACCCAGAGAGGAACAGTATTATTTTGATCAGGAAGAGCCTGTGTAACAAATTTACTCAAGTTTCTACGATTTAGTCTTGAGATTTTACAGGAAATAGTTGGGTTGACTACACTTATCTGGAGTTGGGGGAGAAGAGAGGGGGGGCTTTAAGCAGAGTCCCACATAAGAGGATGCTCTGGAAACTGGAACATGCTGGAGGATTGATATGGATGAAAAAAGGTGGAGGTGACATGCTGGACGAGACTTCTGACATGGATGAAATATTTGTAACAGAAAAATAAGGAGAGTATTCGGACTGGAAAAGTGTCAACAATGGAGTACCACAGGGTTCAGTTCTAGCACAATTAACAATGTTCATTGTCTAATTGTCTATATAAACAATCTATCAAAAGAAATACAAAATTATGTGAGCATCTTTGCTGATGATGCCAGACTACCAGGGAAGATGAGAAAAGTGGACAGTTGTCATACCCTTCAAAAAGACCTGGTCAAAATAAGTGTATGGAGCAACACTTGGCAAATTAAATTTAATGTAAGTCAATGCCACATTATGGAATGTGGAATAAGAGAAAATAGGCCACACACATACACCCTACAAATAATGCAAAAAAGCTTTAAAAATTCAGATAAAGAAAGAGATCTAGGAGTGGGTCTTGATAAAAAAAAACTGTCACCTGAGGATCACAAAGACTATTGTGTGAGGAGCTCATGCTATACTTTCCAACTTTAGTGTAGCATTTAAATACATGGATGACAAAATATTCCAGAAATTATTAACAACCTTTGTGAGATCAAAGTTGGAATATGCAGGGGTTGTATGGTGTCCATATCACAAGAAGCCTATCACTAAACTAGAAAAAGGTGCAAAGACATGCAACTAAATGGCTTCCAGAACAGAAAAACAAGAGTTTTCAGGAGAGGTTAGAAGCATTAAATATACCAAAGCTAGACGATGAAAGAAAAATAGGTGATATGATCACTATGCACAAAATAGTAACAGGAATCAATAAAATTGACAAAGAAAAGTTTTTGAAAGTGCAGCTTCAAGAACAAGAGGACATCGGTTCAAACTAAGAAAGAAAACAAAGCTGCTGAAAAAACATTAGAAAGTTCACTTTTGTAGTAGTAGACTGCTGGAAGAAGTTAAGTGAGAAGGCCAAACTGTCAGTAGTTTTAATGTTGCATGACAGAGTACTGGGAAGACAGGACACCATGAGCATAGCTCTCATCCTGTAACTACTCTTGGGTTAGTGTAGTTACAGGATGAGAGTGTTACAGGATTAAGTTATAGCATGCACGTGTGTTTGGTAGCTATGATAAACTTGCTCTCTTTTGCTAGGGGAAGAAAAAAGTGTTCATAACATTCTTCACTTTTATTTCAACATACACACAGAAATCATAATAGCATGATACATCAAATGAACAAATCCACAAGGGCAGTGATGAGGGTTCAAACCTACGCACGGAATGTTCCCAGGGCAGTAGCACTCCAGGTTGCATTCCTTTTGACCGCACTCCAGGTTGCAATCCTTTTGACCATGTGGTGGTACAGTTGACTAAGGCGCGTCTGGGAACATCCCGTGCATAGGTTTGAACCCTCATCATTGCACTTGTGGATTTGTTTATTTCAACATATTTGGATGCCTATAAATGAATGCTTTGAAGCATTCTTTTGCACACAGTCCAATGCTTTTGTACATTTTTGTATATACTGTACAGTATATATATATATAATGTATTTTTGTGTGGGTTTCCTGTCTGTACAGTATTTCATTTTTTTTTTAGGGGGGGGGGGGGGGGGGGGGGGGGGGGGGGGGGGAATTCATAGCAACTAAGTACTATACAGTATATCCAAGTTCTTAGTCCAGCTGTAGAAGTGGGGTGTCTCATTTTAGATTAGTCTTTTTAGCATTGGGTCTTAAAACATTTTTATCGTTTTCCACACCCTGGTGGTTTGCTGTTATGTTTGATGTTCAGTGGTTGTATATTTAGAGATTCATGGAGCTCCTGAATTGTCTGATCATGTGGTGGGTGGTGTTTTATACTGGAGGGTTTTATATTTATATTTATATACAATATTTTTTAATATTGATTATACAATAATCAATCCCCAGGCGCCGGCGAGAAACAATGGGCAGAGTTTCTTTCACCCTATGCCCCTGTTACCTAGCAGTAAAATAGGTACCTGGATGTTAGCCAGCTGTCACGGGCTGCTTCCTGGGGGTGGAGGCCTGGTCGAGGACCGGGCCGCGGGGACACTAAAAAGCCCCGAAATCATCTCAAGATAACTCAAGAAGGGTATTAAAGATGCAGATGGACTAGAGCCTTGTATAAATATAGCTGTATGTTCATGCCATGGTTACAGAATTTGTTGTTTGCCTAAGGGTGCCATTGCTCTATTTGGTGTAATTTTTTAATATTGATTCCTTTATTGATCTTGGAATCCTCTATTGAATTGGGAGGTTGTTGGCTCTTGATATTTTTTTTCTGGGTAGCAATGATGTAGAACATTTGTGCTTAATTTCATTGTTTTTAAAGGCAGTTTATGAATTCTTTTACCTTGTTCTAGGTGGCAGATTACTTGAGTTACATCATCCATTTATGTAATGAATTCTCCATGTTGAAGCGGGGGCAGGTCAGCTGTGTATATGTTAGAAAGTGGGTGATAGGCAATTTCCCTGTAGTACTCCACTTTTCAGTTGAATTTCGTGTCCCATGTAGCTGCCTCTTCACTGTTCTGTTGTCTATGAAACCCTATTATTTGGCAGTGATCTGTGAAATCCTTAATTCTGGTATTGTGTATTTTAGGCTGGTTTGCCAGACTTTGTCTAAAGCTTTTGATAAATCTAAAAGTAATATTACATTACTTTTTTTCTTATTTTGGCAACAGTGCTATTGTTAATAGCTAAATATGGGTTTTAATATCTATATCTGATGTTATACTTTTGTTCCTCTTGCATGTATATTAGAGACTATTTTATTGTTTCAATATTTTGCCCGATATCCTCAAAAGGAAAACTGGTCTATAATTTCCTGTTCGAGGTGTAAGTTTTTCTGAGTTTGGGATTAATCTGACTTTCTATTTCTGAAGTTGGAGAGGAATATACCCAATTGATACATCTGTCTTTAATATTCATGAATACTGATGGATTGCTTTCACTGGTAGATTTGTAATTACCAGTTGGTTTATTTTGCCAGTGCCAGGTGCCTTATTCTTAAGACCTCTAATTCTTGGACATCTAAAATGGTTATGTGGTTTATAAGGTGGCACACATTGTCCATGTTGTTAAGGTCTGTTGTTTGCATTGAAAGTGAAATTGCAGCTTTGTTTTCCCACTAGATTTTGTATTGAGACAGAATTGACAATTTCCTCGAGGTACTCTGATTTTTTTTTGTATGTACTGTACTTAAATCCTAGTTTCTGTTCATTAGAGACCACACTCGTCTCACTCGTCTCACTCGTCCCCTTCTCATCCTCTTTATGAAGTATATTTCCTGAGGCCTCTTTCAATGTAAGGCATTTCCATATTTGAGGCCCGTCATCAGGTTATTTGGCACTTTTACCCCCCAGAACTTTCCTTGATTGCTGTTATTTCATTTTCCCATTTATTTTTGGGGGAATTCAGTTTTGTTATGAAGATAAAGGGAGAAAAAAAAGGGTGGGGGGGGGATAGATTTCTTCCTACCCCCTCATCTCTGGTTCCTTTTCTTCAGAAGGATGCAAAGGGAGGGAGGAAAAGGAGAGGGAAGATGAGTACTTTTCTCCACATCCCTCCCTCCCTCTCCCTACATCCCTCCCCCCTAGGGGAGGGATGGGGAGAGGATGAGGAGAAGGGAGGGCCCTCTCCCATGGGGTGGAGAGGAGGAGGGAGGGAGGGGGAGGAGGAAAGGAGGGACAGAGGGGGGAGGAGGAAGGCCCCTCCCACCCTTCCTCCTCCTCCCTACCCCCCCTCCTTCCCTCTCCCCTTCCTCCCTCCCTCCCTCTCCTCTCCTCCTTCCCTCTTCCCCTCCCCATTCCTTCCTTCCCTTCTTCTCCCCCTCCTCCCCTCTCTCCCTCCCCCCCTCCCCCCTCTCCTCCCTCCCCCCTCTCCTCCCTCTCCCCCCCTCTCCTCCCTCCCCCCTCTCTCCCCCCTCCCCCCTCTCCTCCCTCTCTCCCCCCTCTCCTCCCTCTCTCCCCCCTCCCCCCTCTATTCCCTCTCTCCCCCTCCCCCTCTCCCCCCTCCCCCCTCTCCTCCCTCTCTCCCCTCCCCCCCTCTCTCCCCCCTCTCTCCTCCCTCTCTCCCCCCCTCTCCTCCCTCTCTCCCCCCTCTCCTCCCTCTCTCCCCCCTCTCTCCCCCCTCTCTCTCCCCCCTCTCTCCCCCCTCTCCTCCCCCCTCTCCTCCCCCCTCTCCTCTCTCTCTCCCCCCTCCCCCTCTCCTCCCTCCCCCCTCTCTCCCCTCTCCATCCCCTTCCTCCCCTTCCTCCTCCCCCCTCCCTCTCCATCCCCTTCCTCCCCTCCTCCCCCTCTCCTCTCTCTCTCTCTCCCCCCTCCCCCTCTCTCTTCCCTCTCTCTCCCCTCCACCCCTCTCCATCCCCTTCCTCCACCCCTTTTCATCCCCTTCCTCCTCCCCCCTCCCTCTCCACCCCCTTCCTCCTCCCCCCTCCCTCTCCATCCCCTTCCTCCTCTCCCCTCCCTCCCCCCTCAGCCTCTGTCACTCACCTTGGTCAACACCTATGGGTTCCCCGCAGGTGTCGCAGTACTCGGCGAACATGGCGTCGAAGCAGTGGAGGCAGAAGGGGCGACCATCGCGCATGATGTACCTCTGACCGCCCAGTTGACGGTCACACTCGAAGCAGGCGAAGTGCTTCATGTGCCACGCTCTCCCCTCCGCCTCCGTACACTCGTCTGCCAGGATGATCTGAAACACAACGCCCTTCTTAACAACGGTTACCCAACACAGTGCTAAGCTAAGTGCTATCACTAAGCAAGGTAATGTTCACAATTTACAGTGAAAGATGTTTGTTGCTAAGGTATAATTATAATGTATGCAGATAAATGATAATAAAATTGATGAAGTTTGATTAGGAATTCTTTGTGACCTTCGGAATCCTGTTTTTGCGCTACCACTCACAAGATGAGTATATTGGTACACAATAAACTAGCCGCTGTTAGCGGCAAGAATAAATCTCTATCATTTTTCAGGACTTAAAAAGGGGCGTCTACTCTTCTAAAAATGTCAACAAGACTTGGTAACAACTTTGTAAATTTGTGAGTGACATCTACAGTAGCTGCTCCAGCTATCATCTCACTACAGCAAGAGCAGCTGCATGGCTTTGGGTCATTAAACACAAAGTCATCAGATTCCCAGATGGCGACAAGTACCTCAGGAAGGTCATATCCTTGTGGGTTCATATTTAGCAAATGTAAACAGTCAATAGACCTAAATATTCCCACAACTTCTATAGCGATAGACACTCATTAGTGATGACTCTGTAATCAGATTAAGATTTAAGTAAACAAGGCGAGTTATGCGACAGCCTGGTGGACCAAGCTCTCACAAGTCAGGGCTTAGGGAGTAGAACAACTCCCAGAACCCCATCAACCAGGCATCAAGCAGGTATGCCAGAACTTTGATCGGCTTTAATATGTCCATTATTATTAGCCTTTTATTGACATTTTAAGTAACATGTTACCCATTTTGTTTTTATGTAATTAGTATTAATAAAGTTAAGTATTTCGCGACTATTGTCTATCCTCTTTTGCATATTTATTAATTTCTTCATTATGCGCCCTGTACCCATTCTGTGCCCACGACGTTTATAATAAATACAATATTTCCAAGTGTTAAACGTTTCCCTTAACCTGTACCTCGACATCTGTATCCCCCCCCCCTCCACCCTCCCCTAATTTAAATTGAAATAAAAAGACTCATCCCAAAGGCGGTAGTGGAAAAAGTTACCAGCATATTTTGGGTTCAGGAACTAAACCCCAAAATTTACTTCGCTAATCAAGTTTTTCTCTCCCTCCTCGGCCATTCCTCCAGCCTCTCCACTGCTCCTCATAGTCGACCTCCCTAGACACAATAGAGAACTTTACTATGGCGAGACCACAGAAAACGGTGCCGATTACCTCACGATGGTTAACTACCCTCACAGATTGCCCTCCTCACAGTTATGCCTCATAAACCCCCGACGCCAAGGACACACCTGTGATTTACCTGTGATCAGGTACGAGGTGCCTTCTCTCGCCTCCAGCTGTCAAGGATGGAGTAAAAGGTGGAAGGATCAGGAGGATATGGAAGGATGTGGGTTCAGGCTGCTATATTAAATGAGTGGTGACAGACAGTAATCTCTCCACCAGTTACCCGGATTATAACTCTGCGGTGTTCCCGCCATATGAGCACCCCGTCACCCCCTTACTACAGTACCACCATAACACTCCTCCATAAGGCAACAGAGAATGGGGAATGTGAGGTCGGTGAGAATGGGGGAGGTGGAGAAGGGAAGAGAAGTGAATGCGAAGGTCAGCAACAGTAAGCAGATTGATGAAAGAATGGCCAGTGATAGTGAGAGAGGGGTTAACAACGATTAACAGAATAGGCGGAGGCAGGAAGCAGAAGAGGAAAAGAAGCAGAGAAGGGAGAAGGGAAGCTGAATAACGTGAAGAGGAGATAGATATAAACACAGGTAATAATATCAGAGTAAATCACATAGGCTAGAGGAGATTAGGGCAGGGAGGGGATGTGACAGGCTGCAGGGCATCAAGGCTGGGGTGTGGTAGGGAAGGCTGGGGTGTGGTAGGGAAGGCTAGGGTGTAGTAGGGAAGGCTGGGGGTGTGGTAGGGAAGGCTGGGTTGTGGTAGGGAAGGCTGGGGTGTGGTAGGGAAGGCTAGGGTGTAGTAGGGAAGGCTGGGGGTGTGGTTGGGAAGGCTAGGGTGTAGTAGGGAAGGCTGGGGGTGTGGTAGGGAAGGCTGGGGTGTGGTAGGGAAGGCTGGGGGTGTGGTAGGGAAGGCTAGGGTGTAGTAGGGAAGGCTGGGGGTGTGGTAGGGAAGGATGGGGGTGTGGTAGGGAAGGCTGGGGGTGTGGTAGGGAAGGCTGGGGGTGTGGTAGGGAAGGCTAGGGTGTGGTAGGGAAGGCTGGGGGTGTGGTAGGGAAGGCTGGGGGTGTGGTAGGGAAGGATGGGGTGTGGTAGGGAAGGCTAGGGTGTAGTAGGGAAGGCTGGGGGTGTGGTAGGGAAGGCTGGGGGTGTAGCAGGGAAGGCTGGGGTGTAATAGGGAAGGCTGGGGGTGTGGTAGGAAAGGCTGGGGGTGTGGTAGGAAAGGCTGGGGTGTGGCAGGGAAGGCTGGGGTGTGGTAGGGAAGGCTGGGGTGTGGTAGGGAAGGCTGGGGTGTGGTAGGGAAGGATGGGGTGTGGTAGGGAAGGCTGGGGTGTAGTAGAGAAGGCTGGGGTGTGGTAGGGAAGGCTGGGGTGTGGTAGGGAAGGATGGGGGTGTGGTAGGGAAGGCTGGGGTGTAGTTGGGAAGGCTGGGGGTGTGGTAGGGAAGGCTGGGGTGTGGTAGGGAAGGATGGGGTATGGTAGGGAAGGCTGGGGTGTGGTAGGGAAGGCTGGGGGTGTAGTAGGGAAGGCTGGGGTGTGGTAGGGAAAGCTGGGGTGTGGTAGGGAAGGCTGGGGTGTGGTAGGGAAGGCTGGGGTGTGGTAGGGAAGGCTGGGGTGTAGTAGGGAAGGCTGGGGTGTGGTAGGGAAGGCTGGGGGTGTAGTAGGGAAGGCTGGGATGTGGTAGGGAAGGCTGGGGTGTGGTAGGGAAGGCTGGGGTGTGGTAGGGAAGGCTGGGGTGTGGTAGGGAAGGCTGGGGTGTAGTAGGGAAGGCTGGGTGTGGTAGGGAAAGCTGGGGTGTGGTAGGGAAGGCTGGGGTGTGGTAGGGAAGGCTGGGGTGTGGTAGGGAAGGCTGGGGTGTAGTAGGGAAGGCTGGGGTGTGGTAGGGAAGGCTGGGGTGTAGTAGGGAAGGTTGGGGTGTAGTAGGGAAGGCTGGGGTGTATTAGGGAAGGCTGGGGTGTGGTAGGGAAGGCTGGGGTGTAATAGGGAAGGCTGGGGGTGTGGTAGGGAAGGCTGGGGGTGTGGTAGGGAAGGCTGGGGTGTATTAGGGAAGGCTGGGGGTGTGGTAGGGAAGGCTGGGGTGTAATAGGGAAGGCTGGGGGTGTGGTAGGGAAGGCTGGGGGTGTGGTAGGGAAGGCTAGGGTGTAATAGGGAAGGCTGGGGGGTGTGGTAGGAAAGGCTGGTGTGTGGTAGGGAAGGCTGGGGTGTGGTAGGGAAGGCTGGGGTGTAGTAGGGAAGGCTGGGGTGTAGTAGGGAAGGCTGGGGGGTGTGGTAGGGAAGGCTGGGGTGTGGTAGGGAAAGCTGGAGTGTAGTAGGGAAGGCTGGGGTGTGGTAGGGAAGGCTGGGGGTGTGGTAGGGAAAGCTGGAGTGTAGTAGGGAAGGCTGGGGTGTAACAGGGAAGGCTGGGGTGTAGTAGGGAAGCCTGGGGGTGTAGTAGGGAAGGCTGGGGTGTGGTAGGGAAGGCTGGGTTGTGGTAGGGAAGGCTGGGTTGTGGTAGGGAAGGCTGGGGGTGTGGTAGGGAAGGCTGGGGTGTGGTAGGGAAGGCTGGGGTGTGGTAGGGAAGGCTGGGGTGTGGTAGGGAAGGCTGGGGTGTGGTAGGGAAGGCTGGGGTGTAGTAGGGAAGGCTGGGGTGTAGTAGGGAAGGCTGGGGTGTGGTAGGGAAGGCTGGGGTGTAGTAGGGAAGGCTGGGGTGTAGTAGGGAAGGCTGGGTGTGGTAGGGAAGGCTGGGTTGTGGTAGGGAAGGCTGGGGGTGTGGTAGGGAAGCCTGGGGGTGTGGTAGGGAAGGCTGGGGTGTGGTAGGGAAGGCTGGGGTGTAGTAGGGAAGGCTGGGGTGTGGTAGGGAAGGCTGGGGGTGTGGTAGGGAAGCATGCGGGGTGGTAGGGACGGCTGGGGTGTGGTAGGGAAGGCTGGGGTGTAGTAGGGAAGGCTGGGGTGTGGTAGGGAAGGCTGGGGTGTGGTAGGGAAGGCTGGGGTGTGGTAGGGAAGGCTGGGGTGTGGTAGGGAAGGCTGGGGGTGTGGTAGGGAAGCCTGGGGGTGTGGTAGGGAAGGCTGGGGTGTGGTAGGGAAGGCTGGGGTGTAATAGGGAAGGCTGGGGTGTGGTAGGGAAGGCTGGGTTGTGGTAGGGAAGGCTGGGGTGTGGTAGGGAAGGCTGGGGTGTGGTAGGGAAGGCTGGGGTGTGGTAGGGAAGGCTGGGGTGTAGTAGGGAAGGCTGGGGTGTGGTAGGGAAGGCTGGGTTGTGGTAGGGAAGGCTGGGGGTGGGTAGGGAAGGCTGGGGTGTGGTAGGGAAAGCTGGAGTGTAGTAGGGAAGGCTGGGGTGTGGTAGGGAAGGCTGGGGTGTGGTAGGGAAGGCTGGGTTGTGGTAGGGAAGGCTGGGGTGTGGTAGGGAAGCCTGGGGGTGTGGTAGGGAAGGCTGGGGTGTGGTAGGGAAGGCTGGGGTGTGGTAGGGAAGGCTGGGTTGTGGTAGGGAAGGCTGGGGTTGTGGAAGGGAAGGCTGGGGGTGGGGTAGGGAAGGCTGGGTTGTGGTAGGGAAGGCTGGGGGTGTGTAGGGAAGGCTGGGTTGTGGTAGGGAAGGCTGGGGGTGTGGTAGGGAAGCCTGGGGGTGTGGTAGGGAAGGCTGGGGTGTGGTAGGGAAGGCTGGGGTGTAGTAGGGAAGGCTGGGGTGTGGTAGGGAAGGCTGGGGGTGTGGTAGGGAAGCCTGGGGTGTGGTAGGGAAGGCTGGGGTGTGGTAGGGAAGGCTGGGGTGTAGTAGGGAAGGCTGGGGTGTGGTAGGGAAGGCTGGGGTGTGGTAGGGAAGGCTGGGTTGTGGTAGGGAAGGCTGGGGTGTGGTAGGGAAGCCTGGGGGTGTGGTAGGGAAGGCTGGGGTGTGGTAGGGAAGGCTGGGGTGTGGTAGGGAAGGCTGGGTTGTGGTAGGGAAGGCTGGGGGTGTGGTAGGGAAGGCTGGGGGTGTGGTAGGGAAGGCTGGGGTGTAGTAGGGAAGCCTGGGGGTGTAGTAGGGAAGGCTGGGGGTATGGTAGGGAAGGCTGGGGTGTAGTAGGGAAGGCTGGGGTGTGGTAGGGAAGGCTGGGGGTGTTAGGGAAGGCTGGGGTGTGGTAGGGAAGGCTAGGGGTGTGGTAGGGATGGCTAGGGTGGTAAGGAAGCCTGGGGGTGTAGTAGGGAAGGCTGGGGTATGGTAGGGAAGGCTGGGGTGTAGTAGGGAAGGCTGGGGGTGTTAGGGAAGGCTGGGGTGTGGTAGGGAAGGCTAGGGGTGTGGTAGGGAAGGCTCCGGTGTAGTAGGGAAGGCTGGGGTGTGGTAGGGAAGGCTAGGGGTGTGGTAGGGAAGGCTCCGGTGTAGTAGGGAAGGCTGGGGTGTAGTAGGGAAGGCTGGGGTGTAGCAGGGAAGGCTGGGGTGTAGCAGGGAAAGCTGGGGTGTAGCAGGGAAGGCTGGGGTGTAGCAGGGAAGGCTGGGGTGTAGCAGGGAAGGCTGGGGTGTAGCAGGGAAGGCTGGGGTGTGGTAGGGAAGGCTGGGGGTGTAGCAGGGAAGGCTGGGGTGTGACAGGTAAAGACGAGGAATAAAACTAAAAATACAAATAAAAAAATCAAATACAAAGTAGCGAGAAAAGTACAGGAAAGAAAGTACGAATAGAAAAGATTAAGAGAAAAATGAGATATGAAATAAAATGAAGGAGGGAGAGAGGGGAAGGAAGAAGTCTTAGATGGAGAAATAAGAAGAGAAAAAGAATAGTCAGCTAAAGTCGTTAAGGAAGGAGAGACTGGCCCTTTATGTGATGCAATGATGAGTTATGAGTCTTAGTAGAAGGGCGAGGTCTGATGAAGACGAGGATGGGGGTGAATCAGATCCCCCGTACCAAATAAGTCCCCTCCGGGCTCACCATAGCCCGTGCTACTTGCAACTTTGGTCCCCAGTAGCTGAATCTCTAACAACAACAACGGCTATCTTCGAAAGGGCCACACCCACCCCAGGGCCAGCTGAGAGGAGCAGGTCGTGGCCCACTTGAGAATGGTGCCTACACAATTTACAGGGTAACAACGACCCCTTCTCTACCCCCTCTCTAATTAAGAGAAACATCCCTTACCCCTAGCACGTACGTCTTCAATCAACCAGCCTCTCCTGATTGTCAAGTTACTACGTTTGTTCAGCAGGGGGGGGGCTATATACACACACACACACACACACACACACACACACACACACACACACACACACACACACACACACACACACACACACACACACAGCCCAGTAGGCTCAGGAATCTGTACATCAGTTGATTGACGGTTGAGAGGCGGGACCAAAGAGCCAGAGCTCAACCCCCGCAAACACAACTAGGTGAGTATACACACACACACCACACACACACACACACACACACACACACACAATGACAGGAATATTCTATTTCCTGCCATAGACAGCGATTGTAATAGCTAAAATTCCCTCATTTTGCCATATGTATATACAATATTTCACGCACTGCAAATACAGTTAGTGATATTACTCAACGTCCCTCGAAATGCTCTCAGAAAACTCTATTGGAAATGTAACTTTTTACCCACTAATCTAAATGGGCCGTTTTGAAAGTTTCCCGCCCCTGGCCGGACTCATTAGAGAAAACGGGTCTCAAGGGGTGACTCGTAATCAGATGGAAGCACTCCAATGGACCCATAGTACAATGGAGCTTCCCATTGTCGGAACAAGACGCCTCTTAGATGTCTTCAGGTCCTCTTAGATCAACGACCAATCCGCAACGACTAACTCCCTTAGTTACCTAGGGCCAGATTCACGAAGCAGTTACGCAAGCACTTACGAACATCTTTCCTCAATCTTTGACGGCTTTGGTTACATTTATTAAACAGTTTACAAGCGTGAAAACTTGCCAATCAGCTGTTGTTATTGTTATAAACAGCCTCCTGGTGCTCCTATTGGTCCCTACGAGGCAGCTCCTATTGGTCCATACGAGGCAGCTCCTATTGGTCCATACAGAGGCAGCTCCTATTGGTCCATACGAGGCAGCTCCTATTGGTCCATACAGAGGCAGCTCCTATTGGCCCCTACGAGGCAGTTCCTATTTATACCCACCCAAACGCATACATGTCTAACCTACGCTTGAAACAATCAACTGATCCCACATCTATTATGTTACCCTTTAATTTGTTCCATAAATCAACAACCCTGTTTCCAATCCAGTATTTACCCAGGTCTTTCCTATATCTAAAATTATCCAAATTATATGCATGATTTCATGTACTATTTTGTGTTTATGTAATACCTTATTAATATCCCTTTTAGCTACACATTCGCCCATTTGTACAGTTATGGCACCTCTGAACTCAATGTTTTTTCTAGGAAATAATTCAATAAATTTAAATTAAACTTTCTGAATTTCTCTTCACGTGGAACAATTCTGTTTCTGGGATTAAGTTGACCATCCTTCACTGTAATAGGAAATGTATATGTTTATCTCTCAGAATGTTTGGTAATATGTTTATTGTTTGTGATGTGTGTCTATGTATGTATTAACACGATGTACTGAACGGGGTGAGAATAGCTTGAGCTACCTCATCCCTTTGTGTGTATTTTACCTCAATAAACTTATTTTAATTTGCAATTTCACTGTAATCGTTCAAGTTAGGGATGGTATGGTTACCTTACCTTGAGGTTACCTTGAGGTGCTTCCGGGGCTTAGCGTCCCCGCGGCCCGGTCGTCGACCAGGCCTCCTGGTTGCTGGACTGATCAACCAGGCTGTTGGACGCGGCTGCTCGCAGCCTGACGTAACCTGGTGTTACGTCAGGCTATTAATATAATAGGCTAACAATATAATATTGTTCTGACTCGGCTAAATTAGTTTAATACATGAGGAACTTATACGAAATTTAACTAACAAGCTACGAGTATATTAAGAAATTCCTCTAACCAGGTTAGGCAAAGTTAAGAAATTCCTTAAGTTAATTTACACGAGGCGTAGGACCCTCTTGAGACAGGGAGCTGTAGTTTCACTCTTCCAGCACAGGGAGCTAGGGACCCCTAGGTACTTATGCTGTGAAGGGTCTGACGGCTAAGTGGACAGCGCTCGGGATTCGTAGTCCTAAAACTCTGGGTTCGATGACCGGCGGAGGCGGAAACAAATGGGTAGAGTTTCTTCCACCCTGATGCGCCTGTTCAGCTAGCAGTAAATAGGTACCTGGGAGTTAGACAGCTGCTACGGGCTGCTTCCTGGGGTGGGGGGGGGGGGTGTAACAAAAAGGAGGCCTGGTCGAGGACCGGGCCGCGAGGACGCTAAGCCCCGAAATTATCTCAAGATAACCCTCCCTCCCAGCACAAGGAACTAGAAACTACAACAGATCACCTCTGACTGGGATTGAAACCCATTGACATAACTTGTTGTGCTAACAATGTAACCTTTATCTTAGTTATCACTCAAGACATTAACCATAACCCCTCTCCCCCCGTCCCTACAACCTACACGGAGCCTATCATACCTCTACCCCACACACTCAGGAGACTTCTCCCATACACCCTTGACCATCGAGTGTGAGTGGAGAACGCAGACCACTAAACTACTTAACACTCCCCCCAGCAGTGGACTAACGCTCATCACAGGCGGCACTCCTCCCATACACCCTTGATCATCGAGTGTGAGTGGAGAACGCAGACCACTAAACTACTTAACACTAACTAACTAACTTAAAACTAACCTCATCACAGGCGGCGCAGCGAGGCTTGAGAGACTCGGCGTGGTGTCTGCCGCAGTAGAGGTGCGAGTCCTTCCAGAAGTAGATGAGGTCGACCAGCAGTTCCCGACAGACGTGACAGTTGAAGCAGGCCGGGTGCCAGCAGGCGTTGGGGCCTGCCCTGGCGGCCACCACCACGATGTCTCCGCCGCTCACACCTTCCCCGCACTGCAACAATCCAAACACAATCACACACATGGAAATCAAACTGTTTCATTCCACACAGTAATCACAATAGCGTGAGGTATCAATTCTTTTGACCATGTCGTAGCTCGGTCGATTAAGGCAGCGTCTGGGATGCTCCCGGACGCACTAACATCAATGAGAACAGGACCGGTGCCTAGTCAATCCTCCCAGGTCGGGGTGCGACAAGGAATTCGAACGTCAATAAAGTATACCACCACAGTTAGAACGAGGGTAGTAGTCGAGGCATTAGAGTGCTAGCACACCCTCAAGTGAGTGTTAGAGTCGAGAGAGGAGGCGCGGATACGCTCTATAGAGACGTAAGACATTCAGCAAGGAAGTGGAGAAGGTGGTGTTAGGTCTTGACCTCAAGGGGCTGGAAGGTCTTGACTTTCATGAAGGTACATTTGTCTCCCCTTCGGCAGAGTAGTTGACTGATTACTCCTGCCGCCCCTCGGATCCCAGTGGGGGGACTGTTGCTTCTTCTCTATGTTGCCCTTCTGCCACCCCCTGCCACCCACACGGCACCCCCTGCCACCCATACTGCCCCCTGCCACCCATACTGCCCCCCCTGCCACCCATACTGCCCCCCTGCCACCCACACTGCCCCCTGCCACCCATACTGCCCCCCCTGCCACCCACACTGCCCCCCCTGCCACCCATACTGCCCCCCTGCCACCCACACTGCCCCCCCTGCCACCCATACTGCCCCCCCTGCCACCCACACTGCCCCCCCTGCCACCCATACTGCCCCCTGCCACCCACACTGCCCCCCTGCCACCCCACTGCCTCCCCTGCCACCCACACGGCCCCCCTGCCACCCACACTGCCTCCCCTGCCACCCACACGGCCCCTCTGCCACCCACACTGCCCCCTGCCACCCACACTGCCTCCCTGCCACCCACACGGCCCCCCTGCCACCCACACTGCCCCCCTGCCACCCACACTGCCTCCCCTGCCACCCACACGGCCCCTCTGCCACCCACACTGCCCCCCTGCCACCCACACTGCCTCCCCTGCCACCCACACGGCCCCCCCTGCCACCCACACTGCCCCCTGCCACCCACACTGCCCCCCTGCCACCCACACGGCCCCCCTGCCACCCACACTGCCCCCCTGCCACCCACACTGCCTCCCCTGCCACCCACACGGCCCCCCCCTGCCACCCACACGGCCCCCCCTGCCACCCACACTGCCTCCCCTGCCACCCACACGGCCCCCTACCACTCACACGGCCCCTGCCACCCACACTGCCCCCCTGCCACCCCACACGGCCCCCCTGCCACCCACACTGCCCCCCCTGCCACCACTGACTAGAGGCCCCCCTGCCCACCAACAATCATCACATGTGGGAGAAATGTTCCAGGAATCATTCATATTTTCGACACCCTGGAATGAGGGAGACAGAGAGGGGGAATGAGAGAGAGACAAGGAGAAGTAGAGAGAGAGAGGGGAAGGAGGGGAGACTATAGAAATATGGTAATCACTCAGACTGTTGTCGATGCATTTTATATGATGTGGTATTGGCCAGTCATGGCCCCGAGTAGACTGAGGGGAATTTTTCATCTTGATTGGTAGAGGGGAATGATTGGTAGAGGGGAATGATTGGTAGAGGGGAAACATTTGTGTTAATGTTATGAAAGGACTTCTTTTGTTACTTCCATTTCAAAGCCCCAGAGAACGCGGATCGACCAGCGGACTGTCCCTAACAGCCCTTGTGATTAGACAAGGGACTTTCAAAACTAGACAGCTTCCCAAATTAGAAACAAGATCCCTGTCTAACCATATCGTAGCTCAGTCGTAGCTCAGCGTCTGGGATGCTCTCGGACGCAGGTTCGAATCCTTGTCACGGCCCTTGTGGATTTGTTCAAGATGCCTGTCTGTTAAGCCATGAATCTTCGAGATTACACAGAACTTTCCGAGATAAGGAGGAACTTGATGATGCTGAAGAGGAAGCAATAGAGGCAGAGATAGAGGAGGATACTCACATTAGAGCAGGTCATGGTGGAATGGAGATTGACAGGGAGTTGCTTGACGGAGCCTCGACCCAGCGACTCCCTCTTGCGTTGAGCTGAGAACAGCCGTAACTCCTTCTTCTCCTCGTCACTAAGCCCATTGCAGTACCGCACCTGAGGATGTAACCATCACGTCAACTCATGTATCATACAATACTGTATTATTGCTACCTAGAAATACAAGCTAGAGGGAGAGGAAATAGGGGGGGGGAGGGGGGTTGAACACAAGATGCAGGTAGAGGGGCAGTAACATTACGTCAATTATGCAATAATTATGTAATTTCAAACTGTATTGTACTGTATTTCAGAGGCTAAAGTAATACCAAGGTGAAAGTTACTGTATTCTTGAGAGCCTTTTTGTATTTCTGTCTGATGTAGTATTAGGAGAAAAAGGATAAATACATCTGAATGTATATTTTAGTATTTCTGGGTATTTAAGTAATCTAATGCTGTTTATATTCGTGTGTGTTTGTGTGTGTGTGTGTGTGTGTGTGTGTGTGTGTGTGTGTGTGTGTGTGTGTGTGTGTGTGTGTGTGTGTGTGTGTGTGTGTGTGTGTGTGTGTACTTACCTACTTGCGTCTGCAAGATCGAGCTTTAGCTTTTGGACCCCGCCTTTCTACCCACCGGTTGTCTAATGCAATGATTTCCTACCAATTTCAATCATTTCTGCTTTTAAAATTATGAATGTAGTTTGCTTCTAGAACCATCTCCTTTAGCGCATTCCATTTTCCCACTATTCTTATGCTAAACGAAAATTGTCTAACATCTCTATGGTTCATCTATTTCTCAAGGACCATCTATGACCTCCTGTTCTGTTGTGATCATGTCTCCTTTTTTCACTTTGCCAACCCGCCTTAAGTATTTTATGTCTGTAACATGTCTCCCCTCTTAGTCCGCTTTTTCAAGCGACGTCAGGTCTAGTTCCTTCAGTCTTTCTTCACATCACTCGCCATCCTAGAATGACCCCCGCTGCACTCTTCTGAACCTTTTCGAGTTTCCTTAAACTCCAAATTCGAGTTTTTAAGATGGGGACTTCCATGAATGGGGGTGCCATGAATGTGTATATATTATTTGCGCCTTGAGAATCGAGGTATTAGCTCTTGGATCCCGCCTGTGTGTACGAACCACTCACCTCATTGTCGTGCGGAGGTAGTTGATGAAGGAGCTGCTTGATTCTGTACTTCTCTCCGACGGAGTTGACATAAGGGACTTTATCCTCTGGTAGCGCCGAGAAGTACAAGTGCACCTGTGGACCGACCAACACACAGCATTACTACACAGTTCATACAAGCGTCACGGGAAATAATTTAAAAATCTAAATCTGTAGAGAGAGACGTTACACTTGTTTTATTAATAGTAGAAGTGGTAGTAGTGAGAAACTGGTGATAACATATTCCTGAGGTAATATACGACGACGACCACTGGTACACGGACACCCAAGCCAACACGTTAAAAGGTGGTGCTCAAGATTCGAGCCAGGATTCGAGCCGGGGCTCGAACCCTGGTCACTACTGCCCACTCAACCACAGAAGATGATTTAAAAGTGTTGTTTGCAAGCTCAAGTTTCAATTACCTGTCTTATCATACAATTGTTCCATGTCCAATTGGGAGCCGGCGGCCGAGCGGACAGCACGCTGGACTTGTGATCCTGTGGTCCTGGGTTCGATCCCGGGCGCCGGCGAGAAACAATGGGCAGAGTTAATTTCACCCTATGCCCCCTGTTACCTAGCAGTAAAATAGGTACCTGGGTGTTAGTCAGCTGTCACGGGCTGCTTCCTGGGGGTGGAGGCCTGGTCGAGGACCGGGCCGCGGGGACACTAAAGCCTCGAAATCATCTCAAGATAACCTCAAGATGTTGCAAATCATGGGCACAGGTCTGGGACATTATCACCAGGATGATATTGACGTGGATCAGCATATCACAACCCAGGGAGAGCCAAAATTATTATTATTAACATCTTTATTGACAAAATTAATTACAATTTTGCCTAATCTGAGGATTTTGATAGTCTTATTAAATTGAGGTTAATGCTAGTATTCACTGTCAAAAAAAAAGTGACATTTTATCATCACTCGACGCTACCACAAGGTAGGTAGATAGGTAGACCAGTCTACCAGTGCTGACAGACCCCCACCAATGTTGACAGCCCACCACCAATATTGACAGTCCGCCATCAGTATTAACCTATCATCCTGAACCAATTACAGAGAACAACTGGTTTGGAAATATAATTTAATATAACTTAAATTATAATGGCGTCCAGAGCCGTCGTTACGGTGGTAGTGTGAGTGTTTCGAAGCTCAGAGGTCCGGACGGGTCCAGGAAACTCCCTTCTCCGCTAAGCTAATTCCTAATAGCACTTGTAAAATGTGATTCTTGTGCTGTGAGCTGTGGGTTTGTACTCACTGGAGGGACTTGAAGTAGAGGAGGTGTAGAGATAGCCTAAACTACTCTATTCCTCTGAGATGTATTTTGTTGTCTCAATGAACGTATTTGGACTTGAAGAGCACTTAATGAAAACAGAAGATTAATATGTATGTCTCAATGGTGTGTGTGTGTGTGTGTGTGTGTGTGTGTGTGTGTGTGTGTGTGTGTGTGTGTGTGTGTGTGTGTGTGTGTGTGTGTGTGTGTGTGTGTGTGTGTGTGTGTGTGTGTGTGTGTGTGTGTGTGTGTATGACAGCAAGATCATGCAGGAGCCAGGTGTATTAAACACCCAATTCTCTTATACGTAACCCGGAATTAAAAACCTGATTCCTTTCAGATAATGGCTGATTTATGGCTCACAAAACAGAGGAGAAGAATAACAAGCTCATTGCCCCTGATCATGAAAGATTCATCTTTAACAGCCGGCAGCTATACACACACACACACAAAAAAGTTGTTTAAATTAAAACTAACAAAGACAAAATCTGGCCGTCGTGAGAAATTGTTCTAAGAGATATTAAACCGGGGTTATATAAGCTAGAAATATTCCGTTTTCTGTAGCATTGTGTCTTCAATGGTCATATATATATGTATATGAATATCATGAAATGCGGTGGGATCAAACCCATGTCTCTGGCTTCCCCAGACACACGTAAGCTGGTACCCATGCAGCTGGTGTCCACATAGCTCATACCTACGGAGCCGGTACCTGCTTCTGCTCTCTGACAGGTCATAATCCCCCCCCACATACCCCTCCCACCTATCCACCAATGATAAATTTGTCTCTAACCACAATTTAAGAGATAATACTCACCATACACTACTCACCATACACTGCCTTTGTATGATAGCGAACCAATGACTGAACCATCCAAAGAAGTGATTAAACACATACAATTTAAAGAAATAACTTCAGATTTAGAAGAACTAAGAAATGCTCTAAGACCTGAAACACTCACTATATTACACACCCCCATACAGTACAACCCCCATACAGTACACACCCCCATACAGTACAACCCCCATACAGTACACACCCCCATACAGTACAACCCCCATACAGTACACACCCCCATACAATACACATCCCCATACAGTACACACCCCCATACAATACACTCCATACAATACATATGCACATAGTAAAAAGCTAATCAAGTTTTAACAGCGCCAAAAACAATTCCAGCCATCATAAAATCCTAATAGAATTAATTTCCAGGGTAATTATATTAGGGCCCCAGACACAGCTGTCGAAAAGGGCGGGCCCGGGGAAATCTATGAAAGAATAGAGAAGAAACTGTTCAATACTCTAAGGGTCTCCCGAGGGAGGGATGGAATGGAGGGTGTGGAACAGGGGAACTGGATTAGCTAACTTAATTCAGTTCCACACCACACCCTTCCCACCCCTGTCCCATTATTTCCCTTTCCTCTCACGGTGGCTATAAACTTCCCCGATCGCTGAAAGTGGGAAAATAAACAATAAAAATGGGTTATTTCGAGGATGTTGTTGTTTGAGATTTAGCTACTCAGGCAACCCGTTCTCGCACTTTCGTATAGTCAATATTGACTTATTAAATACGTGCATATGTGACATACTAATTTATTGTGAATATTTTAGTTTACCTTGAAAAGCTTCATAGAAAACACCGACCTCACCTAACCTTCTTAGTATGTTAAGATAAGCATCTTATTGCTTCTTAATTACAATTATTACTTAACCTATAGCTATATAATAGTATATATATATATAATAGTATATATATAATAGTATAATATATAATACCTATATAATAGTATATATATAATAGTATAATATATAATACCTATATACCTATATAATAGGTTAAGTAATAATTGTAATTACGAAGCAATAAGATGCTTATCTTAACATCTTAAGAAGGTTAGGTGAGGTCGGTGTTTTCTATGAAGCTTTTCAAGGTAAACTAAAATATTCACAATAAATTAGTATGTCACATATGCACGTATTTAATAAGTCAATATTGACTATACGAAAGTGCGAGAACGGGTTGACTCAGGACGAAGTATCCATGTAGCACGGGCTATGTTGAGCCCGTGTCCATGTAGCACGGGCTATGGTGAGCCCGTGTCCATGTAGCACGGGCTATGGTGAGCCCGTGTCCATGTAGTACGGGCTATGGTGAGCCCGTGTCCATGTAGCACGGGCTATGGTGAGCCCGTATTTCGAGGAGTTGGGGACCAATTGTTTAGCTCTCCTCCTCCTCCGAAGACACAAGGTAGTTCCCGTCTGGTGGACTAACTACCAGTGACCTGTTTCAAGCAAAAGACCATTAATCTTGTTTATCTTGAGGTTATCTTGAGATGATTTCGGGGCTTACCGTCCCCCGCGGCCCGGTCCTCGAGCAGGCCTCCTTTTTGTTACACATTCCCAGGAATGAATGAACTTGAATTTTCAGGGGAAAGTGCCAAGCCATTACGACTATATAGCACTGGTCAGGATAAGGATTTGGGATGGGACGGTGAGGAAGGAATGGTGCCCAACCACTTGTGAAGGGTCGGGGATTGAACGCCGACCTGCAGAAAGCAAGATACCAAGGCTGTCTAACTCCCAGGTACCTATTTACTGCTGGGTGAACTCTTAGTTCTGGGTCAGCACAGTAACTGGACCAGGCAATGATACCTGGTTGATACCTGGTTGATGGGGTTCTGGGAGTTCTTCTACTCCCTAAGCCCGGCCCGAGGCCAGGCTTGACTTGTGAGAGTTTGGTCCACCAGGCTGTTGCTTGGAGCGGCCCGCAGGCCCACATATACCTGGTTGATGGGGTTCTGGGAGTTCTTCTACTCCCCAAGCCCGGCCCGAGGCCAGGCTTGACTTGTGAGAGTTTGGTCCACTAGGCTGTTGCTTGGAGCGGCCCGCAGGCCCACATATACCTGGTTGATGGGGTTCTGGGAGTTCTTCTACTCCCCAAGCCCGGCCCGAGGCCAGGCTTGACTTGTGAGAGTTTGGTCCACCAGGCTGTTGCTTGGAGCGGCCCGCAGGCCCACATATACCTGGTTGATGGGGTTCTGGGAGTTCTTCTACTCCCCAAGCCCGGCCCGAGGCCAGGCTTGACTTGTGAGAGTTTGGTCCACCAGGCTGTTGCTTGGAGCGGCCCGCAGGCCCAGTACATATAATAGCAAGACGTCACTGTAGCCAGCCGTCACCGTAGACACATTCTACGGTCACAAGATAAAGAAGACAATGGAAATCAATTTCCTACAGTAGGGGGTAAAAAAAAGCCAGTGCCATTTCCTGCACCTGTGGCTTGGCCCCCTTGTGGCACCCAGGCCTACCAAGAGGCCGGGGTGGGCCAGATTATTCTTTTTAAAGGTGGCACTGCGATCAGGGCCAATACGAGAGGGGGTAGGGTGTGGAGAGTGCCAGTGCCACGTGTGGCAGACGACTTGATGCCTCTGGCACTAAACTAACCCCCTGAGTCATGACCAAATTCCCAGCATTTGATGCCAAGTGTTTAATTTGAAAATGTATAAATGCTATTTTGGGCCCTTTTTTAAAGGCATAAATCGTTAAGCATTGCAATACTTTTGTCTCTTGTCCCTGTAAATGGTCCAATTTCGTAATTAATACAAAATGGGATGGGGACATTTAAATAAAAATGACAGTTTATGGCTGAGGACTAAACGCTTAATCCCATAGTTTTGCCCAGACTTGCCCATCATTATCGCCTATTTATCAAACTCTCGCCCTGATGATGCTGACGACGACACGGGGGCTCGAACCCATTGACGACGAGTTACGACATGGAGCGAGGGAGGGTCGTGGCACCCACCATGATCCAGAA